ATGAGCCGATGGATGCATGCGTGCACGGAGGGAGGAATGCGGCTTGGCGGATGGAGAGCCCCGCGGTGGATCGCGCCGATGGAGCACCTTCCTCCTCCTTGGAAGAGCATCGTTGCGGAAAAGAGAGGCGATCCTCCCTTAAAAGATGGATTCGTGGGACTACATTTATTTATTTATTTGTTTGTTTATTTATTTATTTATTTTTGATCAAGAGGGATGCTTGGAGTGACAGTACAAGCTCCATTCGCTAAGGGGTGATGAGGATGATGAACGCGCTGATGCTGGTGTCTTAATGGACCATTCCCAGTTTGGAACTACACGGCACGTGGCCGCATGTGCCGTTTTTTTTCTTCTTTTTTTATCCATTGCTACTTGGACGCCGCTGAACAGCAGACACAAGGTGAGATGTGCACGATGTCAGAGGCACCCGATTGGAGGACTCCTGGGAGTCACGTGTTCTGCCAGCAGCCCCAACTGTGCCTTGCATCTCTGAAATGGAAAGGGGTATTAACAACGAAAAGTAACTGCAGTGTTGTACTATCATGCTTTGGTGCATTTGCACATCAATACAAAGTCTCATTTGAAGAAAAAAAAAAAAAGTTGTCATGTGCAACAGAGAAGATGAGATGCCATGTTCAGGGCTTGACATGTTTCTAAAAAGAGAACAAGTAGGCAAGTTTCCAGCTGTATATTCGGTGTGTGTTGACATGGTGTCAAGATAGGTTTTTTTAAAACGTTATTTCCTTAAGATCACACACAATCTCCATCATTACATTCACGTGGTTTAAAGTCCTTTCAATAAGAAACTTTCTGAGATAATCTAATTCTTTTATTTGAGACTGCCTCTCTCACATGCTGCTGCACACTGACGGCTAGCTGGCTGCAAGAATGTTTCTGAGCTTCTCTCCCACTTGCAAGAAGGGGAGAGAAGCTGTTAGGAATCTATTACATTTGGGAACTACTGCACCCAGGGAAACCCAAGAAGCATGTCTTAGCTTAGTCATTAGGTCTATATGTCTTACGATACAAAGGAGAAAAGACATGCTTTTCTATATATAAAAATGAAAACAACAATTCCCACATTTTGCTTTAGATACTTGTAAAGTAAATGATATTTTTACTCAAAGTGACTCCACTGGACTCTCCGACTGACCCACCTGTCATTGTGTCAAGCTAAAAAGAGAAAATGAGACAGTTCTCCAGTTCAGTCTGTGCTTGTCAAAGGTAAAATCTTATGTCCCTGGATTTAACCAGATCTTTGCCACCATTAGCAGCCCTTTCAGGCCTGATTCCTTGGAAAAGGTTCTGAAGAAGACTGCAGGTCAAACACAAATTGTAGATTAAGTACCCATTTCAAGTATTTGCTGTTTTGCAGACAATTGCTGATGGTGCTTATTGGGCTTATTTAAATGTTTAGGATAAAAGAAATGCAGCTGTGCAGTCTTTAGGATCAGACTGTATTTTAGCTCCAAAATGTCAACCAGATTGTTAGAGATTTGATGTATATTTTTAAAAATAGAAGATGTTTTACAAACATTTTCCAAAGAAAACTTTGACATACAAGGTGAGGTACTTTACTTTTACTTTATTCAACAGACTCTCATGGTCCACAAGATACACAACAACACAACATAAAAACAAGAGAAATGAAAAAAAATACAATAAGTTAGTCATAAGAAATATAAATATAAATCTTATAGAAGACTTGTATACCAATGTTTCCAAAGAGCCGACTGGTATCTTAGCGCACTAACAGAAGGCTGTGAGAACATTACAAGAAGATTGTTCTGTGAATTACCCAAACGACACATAAACTTGTATATCAGATTTCTCAAAAGGGCCTGAAATGTTCTGACATGTGCGTTACAGAACATTTGACTTGCACTGCTGAACCTGGGTTTCTTGATCAAAATTCTCAAAGAGTCATTATAAGCAACCTTAAGCTTCTGCATACTAGTTTTTTTAAATTTGCACCACAAAGGAGCTGTATACAAGGATGTACAGTAAGCTTTAAACAGGCTTATTTTTACCTCATCAGAGCACATGAAATTTCCTCCCCAAAACGTTTGCCTGGGCGTATAACATGCGACACTGCCTATAGATGTCATCATCATCAGAGAGCTGGTCTGTGATGTAGTGACCCAGATACTTAGTTTGGAACAAACATCTAACTTTTGCCCTGACAGAAAAAAATCAACCTTGTTTTGCTTTGCTGGTGATTTTGTGTAGATGACAGTTTCATCACCCAATTTCTGACCAGGGTGTTTATAATAGACACCTTCTTTGTTTTCGGTGTATTTTGGTGACTGCATTCCATCACCACACCACAAAAGTCACTTAGCCTTTTTTTTTTTTTTTTTTGCATGGATGAAGCTATACAAAGAAGTTATTCCACATCTGTAAGGAAAAATGTCAAAGATCTGAAAACTAATGTTTCTCCTGGTCAAGATCTATTGACCATCAAAGTATCAATCTATTGTTTTTGTTGTTTTTTTTTCTTTGTACAAGTCAAAGAACTTTTGTGAGTGAATCACAAAAACAGGCTTTAAGAGACCCACCTTCCCTAAAATCTGACCATTATACTGAGACGGGGTCAGTGTGGTCACCTTGGCCTGTTTTTAATAACCCAGTATGTCTTGCAACACGACCTGTTTCTTCTCTCCATCCAAGTCGAGGAGGGGGCCGTCTGAGTGAAAGGTTTAACTCTGCAGCGGTAAAACCTGTTGAATTTGAACAAGTCATTTGTGTTATGGCTTCTAAAGCTGTGTGGCTGCTTGTGTTTCTGCTTGTGTGCTGAGTGTGGGTGTGCAGCAGCACAGATCCTGCCTGACTGCCTGCATGGTGCCACAGGCCCCTGTTTGCACTGCATCACAGATCAGAGAAGATGCTAGCACTGCTGCATCTTTGTGCGGCTACAGGCCTGTTTGTGTGCCCTGGCATAGCCTTGCAGCTTGCGTTGACACTTTTTGGTTTTAAATTGTAGTTTCAATCGATGCTATTAATGGTCATTTCATGATTTGCAAATGTGCTGTTCAGAGGCATTTAGTGTAATTTGACCAAGGAGCGGGACACCGACGTCTTGCTAAGCCTGTTAATCCAAATATTCTAGTATGCAAATTATTTTAAGTACTGAAGTCAATATCAAACGCCACCATCGGTCTCTCTTTCGTGATTTGACAAAAATAACCCCTGAAATTGAATGTCAGAAGCCCATGTTCTTACTGTATGTCCCTTAAAGATAAAGGTTCAACTCTGAGCCGGGGATTTATAACACAGCGTGATCCGTCAGTCGCAATTGTTCTACACCAACAAGGCCTCCCTCCCCACGTTCGCCCTGTTGCAGCAAAAAAAAAAAAAAAAAGTTAATGCATTGCTGAGGCTAATAAATGGAGGATATGTGGAGAGCCCCTTTGAGATTCAAATGCGGTCTGGTGAGCGTTCACAGAGGCAGGCTAGACGTGTGTTTTTTCCCCACATTAATATGTGCCTGTCTGGGGCGTGAGGAGGAGGCCTCTACGCACCAGATGGAGCCCAGTCTAGACTGGGTCTATCTCTTGAGCACCTGCCATAAGGCTGCATTAAACATTCCATTGTCTTGGTGATTTGTACGTCTCCGTTTGTACATCTGCTTGAATGTCCTTTATAGTGTCTACTGCCTAGATTTATTCCGCACGCGTCAAGACGGCCGTGTTAACGAAGGACACAAAGTGATGCAGCAGCAAGTTAGAGAGATTTAAATCTGTCACTTTCGCAAAGTTTCGCCCTCTGCTTCTTCCGTTCATTTCGTTTGCCCGTGGTGCACGAATGGATGTGGCGCTGGCGCGATCAGCTTGAACAGATCAGGCGTACTGTGTTCTACCCTACACACAGAGCCATTGTTTTAGTTTTACAGCCCTGCTGCAAGCTCACTATCCCACAGATGTTATCTTGATTGTGTCACACTCGGTCACTAGATTCCACTGCGGCGTGCACGAGTGTGGGCGCACAGGCGTCCCCGCATTTACACGCGTGCTTCCTCGGACGTGTTTATGAGCGTGCGCGTTATTGCTACACCCAGAGTGCCTCGTTTTTTGTCACTAAGGGCTGTAATAAACATGACAGAATACAGTGGGCTGCGGAGCAGGTCTTTTTGCACACTCAGAGATTTGCTTTGATTCCATCACAACATGACTTATATGTTTGCAGGAGAAGCCTTTGCAGAGGGTGTCTTAATGTCATCATTGGAAACTACTAACTTGCTGTTCTTGTTCTTCTACTTCTTCCTTCTCCTCCACGGCTTTCATCCACAATTGACAGCGTTTGAGTCTCAGTCATCTGAATCCATATTTTGTCATCAGCTTCCTGTTGTCGTTTTTACCTTGGATTTGCAGTGCCCTATATAAACCTTTTTCTCTGAACTTATGTATTCTGGGTTTGGTAGCCTAGCAACAGCCTCTGACCCATGCAAGAGAAAGAGGGGGGGGGAGAAAAGGGCTGACATGCAGGCTTTAAACCCACGGAGGACGTCAGATTTCAGTGGATGTAATCTTTGAGCATTTTGTGTAATCGCTTGTGAGGTGTGTTTCTCTGTGTTTCTCTGTGTGCATGTCTTTGTGTGTTTTATCTGGATTTACAAGCCGTGAAAGAAAATGGGCAGAAACTCCTTGCCGGTATCTGAGAAAGAAAATTAGCAAATTTTTCGAAAGATCTATCATTGCATCATTTTTAATACTCTTTCTTAAGATTTACTAAAAGGCAAAACTTTCCAACTTTTTACATTTATTCAGTGGAGCCTTTGTGAACAATGCTGTGTCTTGCTCTAACACAATTTATTAAATAGTATCTTTGTTGAAATTCTTTGCCAACATTTCTACTTCAAGACTAAACATCTTATGTTATATTTATTTGCAAAAATCCTTCATGAGAAGAAAAGCTTCTTCTGTGAGATATTAAACATTTTGTTTGGGAATGTAAGCATCATTGGAGCACTTTAGTAAGAATAGTGTTTCCGTGTTTTGCAGTAAGTGAAGTCAAGTCCTACAGAAATACTCGCACCTCATCCGCAGGCCTGCAAGCGACAGACAGCCGACCTTCTGGCCTGAGGAGCAGAGGTCAGCGACGGGGTCAGATCATCGCTGTGACGTCAGAGGTGAGACAAAGTCCTGCTCTGCTGCACCTGATCTGCTGTTGTCCTCCCACTTGAACTTGAACCGAGTGCACAAATCTCTCAAACAACATGACCAGAGGAACATTTTTTAAATTTGGCACCCTGAATAACAACTCTCTGTTTATTTCATACCTCACACTGTATGAAATTCCCAAATGATAAACCTTGAGTATAAATATCATGGTAAAAAAAAAAAAAACATACCTTACTGCTTTTATTTAAAATTGCAAAGGCCATATTTAGGCCTCCTGCTAAAATACAAAACAGAACAAAACAGAACTTTATTATTTTGGTGTTGATACAGAACATGTAAAAACATATAAATAGGCATTTAGCTGTAATCTTCAAATAAATGCACCTATTACCAAGTATATTATTTTGTTTTTCTGCTCTTTACACAGTAGAAAACAAAAATATTATCTGGTTTATAATTTGGGTTTGCTGCTCACATAGAGGCTGATAAATAGATATTTAAAAGACAAATGTTGTAGGTGGGAGAAATTCTGAAGGTCTTTTGTCGGCTCACTGACATGCAGTGAGTCAGAAACTGGGAGAAAAAGCTGCTTTGTGATATTCTAGATTCTTTGACTTCTTATAAGAAAAAAAAATAAACCATGCAAACGGAAGAACAGCTAAACCATATAGTGTAACTTTTTGATATCTTGACACACTTTCAAGTGGTTCACCCTCATGTTTAGGATGGATATTTACTAGTTTTATCTCCTCGACTTCCTCGTCAGTAACCTCCGACCGCATTCTTCATAACGTTTCAATTTGTTTGATTCTTCAGCGTCGGCAGATGAATGGAAGGGAGCCACTTGTGTAAACCATATTTTTACACATTTGTTCCAGCTTTTTTTTTTTTTAGCCTGAAAGCATATAGTAGCTGTGTGGTTTAGTCTGATATGTGTGAGAGGTGTGCTCAAGCAGAAAGACTGACAGGGTGGCTACGTTACTTACTAATTCCCTCTATCCATAACTTCTTATTCTTACTTTTCTGTATTGAGTCGTATGGAGAAAATAACCTATTTTTTTTCTCTTTCGTTTTGTCAAGTCTTAATGATTTAAAAAGTCTTTGCACTTTGACATAAACCTCTTTTAACGCCCTTACAATATCAAGAAATAGCTTTATTTCTCAAACTTTAGAATTTTTTATTTCTATCTATTAATGTTCCACATATTTCATGAGCTTGCACCAAAACTCGGGTTTTCTACCCGGCAAAACCCGGTTCTCACTGTGTGTTTTCGTAAAGTACGTATTATGTTGAAGGTGATGGACGGCTGAAGTTTGCGCCTCGCTCGCTTTCTTCTCAGTTTCCCTCTCAGCGTTGAGTGACAGGACTAAAGATTACCTTCACTTTCCTGTCTGCTGCAGCAGGCAGCGAACGCTGCTCAGCTCGTGCATGCTCAGCCTGCTGTGGAGAACAAAGTGGAGGGAGAGAAGGAGGCCGAACAACTCGTCGAGATATAGGGGCCGCCGTAGAAGAGAGACAGAAGAAGTGATTTATTTATTTTGTTTCTAATTATTATTTCCCTTTAGGGTTAGAAGATGAGCGTTCTGTGACTTTGGCCTGGTTCTATATCAGCTTTTCTCCCACCTCATGAGAGAAGAGGTTGCGTTTGAGAATCAGACAAGAGAAGATCAGAGGATATTTCACAGCCTGTGGCTATCCTCCTCCATCGCGTTCGACCACCTCTTAAAGCTCCTTTCGCTTTGCCTCGACTCAATGAGGGCTGCCGGTCTACTTAGTCAATATCATATCCACAAACTAGTCAAATCGATGCAAACAGGCTTTGGCTGGACACGAGCTTTAGAAGTGAAGGCATAGCTACCGGCTATGTTTGATACAGAGATATAATAATCCAGAAGTGACACTCGTTGCGTCTTCTTTATATTTGTAAGAGCATATTAAGAGCTCGCATGCAGACGTCTGCATTCCTACTGTGTTTTCCTCCTTAAGGACCTTGCGGGCAGGTTATGGATTTGTTTCTGTAGGAAGTGCAGACAGCAGGATGTGCGATTTCACACGTCAACACTGTTGCTTTCACAGTTGAGTACTCTCATGTATATGGAAAGAGTCAAAGACGAGGGAAGTTTTAATCCGCTCATTTACAGTACCTCAGATCCAGTTGACATCTCTCACTCTGGCACATTCCTCTGTGTGTGCTGTATCTCAGTCGCCCCTCCACCCCCCCTCACCTCCTTTGCCTTTGCCATTCTCTCTATTTGGGCTCATCTCGCCATCACCGCCACCCCGGAGAAACCAATTTAGACTGCTGCTCCACACCGTCATGGCATGTTGGCCAGGGGAGATGGAGTTCTTTCAGGTCCTTGGCTACAACCTCCCCACGCCGTCGCTGCCCCCTCATGCTGCCTCTCAACATTTCCTCAACACGGCTGGTGTCCCAGCCGGGCAGCCAGACAGAGCTCGGCGCCACTTCTGAGAATCTGTTGGAGCCATTCTGCACATTCTGTGACGATTCAATAGCAATTTTAAGAGATTTAGATTTCTCTTAAATGACTATAAATAACATATGGTGTCACATGGGAATGATAGCACAAGAAACATGTCGTTGCAAGAGGTTCCTGCTGTTTTCAGTCTTATTTAGGAGGAAGCTTTGAACAACAGCTGGAAACAGTTTCCAGAAAGTTCGTACATCTCTTTGCTTTCTCTGAGTTAATTATTCAACACCACTCTAATGATGACAACAACTAAGAGTTCTTCCCTCAGTAACAACTTCCACCATGAAGAGTGTTATTGTAAGTGCTCCCAGTTACTGCTTTAGACCTTGACATACCCCTGTACATCCACATCCCCGTAGTGCTGCTTTGACTCATTAATAGATGTTTGAAGAATCCTTGAATCTGTTTTGGCAGCCATTTGTACGCTTGCTCATACAATGTGTCACTTATTTCCCATAAAGCTGCTCCTCGGGAAACCTCCTCCGTGCTTTCCCCTCAGGACCTCTAGACTAGCGGCAGCAGCAACTAGCAAGCACCTGGTGGAACTGGGAATCTGCCAAACTTGTCACACTTCTCATAAAAGCTTCTCAGTTCATAAGTTATATTGACCAGTCAGAATTATTATACTTTCCTCTGAGGTCCTAACTTGCCCCAAAAAACATACCATACCCAGTCAATGGAAGTGTGGCATTTTTATCACTATGTCCATATATTATGAAAATATGTTACCAACAAAACTTAAATATAATAAACTGAAAGGAAAAGATGCTCCTCTTCCACTCTAAGTTTGTTGCATAAATGTAAAACAACAAATGAAAAAAGGCAGAAACAAGTAAAGCCTACATGATGTTCAACCCTCAAACCAAACGCATCGTCAAAAAGCTATTGTTTCGTCAAGTAACAAACCGATTTAAGCAGCTTGTTGTTAGCTGATTTCTGTTTTTTTCTTACTGTTTGCACAAACATCCCTGCTTTTTTTGAATTGATGGCTGTGTTGGGTGAAAAGAGGAGGCCTTAGATGGCTGTGTGTGGGAAGCCAATGAAGTGCAGAGTGGTGGTGTAAGTTAACATAAATTCAACGTCAAATTCAGAAAAAAAAAAACAAAGGAAAGGAGAACGTCAAGAGGACAGAGGGAAAAAATGTTTGACAAGTTTAACGAACATTGGGGAATTGGGAAGTTTGCTTTTATTCAAGAATAAAAGTTGCTTTTATGTACTCTTTTATTTGCATTGTTATTTGTTTCTTTAGTTCAACCTTGAAGCACTGTGGCCTCTGGCATCACAATGCTGAATGGTGGCAGTATTAAAGATTGGTGGTGGCTGTGATCGTGGGGTGCAGAAGGGTGACGGACAGAGGAGGGAGAGATTGGGGGGGTCCTCTGAAAGGCAGCGGGGCTACAGACTGAATGGAAAGCAAAGGGGTGGGGGGCGGACACAGGGTAGAGGATGGTGGGGACGGGGGGCATAAGCAGCAGAGGCAGGTTGGGGGTGGTGGAGCTTCATTGGTTCATTGCAACGGCAGAGGCAGCTGTGAAAAGAGGTCTCCCCTTTTTCCCACGCCCGGTCTGATGCGGACACTCCGCTTCAGCCGGCTGGGGTCAAGTCACATTTCTAATACATGCACCGGGCCTGCGGATTCTGACAATGCATACACGCCGCTCATTTACTTTATGTATGCACACAGACAGAAGCACACACTTGTATATACATGGGACGAGGAGGCGGAGGAGGCTGGGACAAACAGTCTCTGTGACAGACGAAGGCGGGGGGTGTGGTGGGTTCGTCTTCGTGGCAGGCAGCGATTTCTTGACCGTCGGCAGCATTGCCTCATCTTCATCCTGCAACCTTACAAATTAACAAGCTGCAACTGAGCTCACAAACACACATACAGTTACAATTTCAGTTCGTATAAACGCTTGTTAAACATTAAAGATTTCAGACTTGATGATGTCAAGTCTCTTTGGCATAAGAACATATTTATTGGGGCTTTCTCTAGTTCGTACCAGTAAATATTCTTGTTTTTTTTTACAAGTACATGTCTTAGCTGCTTTTTACAAATTATAATCATATTCCAGGGAGGGGGATGTAAATGCTTTGTTCTGAACTCCCCAAGCCCCCCAGCACTACCACTCCAGTGCCAGATGCCCTGCTGTATTGTGCTGGTGCCGGGGTGGGGTGAGGTGGAAGGGGGTAGACGGGGAAGCGAGCCCCCTTCCTCTGTCTGTCTCTATGCACCAGGTTGTCACCCTAGTTGTCTGTCTGTCAGGACAAGTGTGGGAAGGAAAAACATTCAGGATGGGAAGGGGGTGACGGTGGTGGAAGTTCAAGGAGAGGTTCAGGGTTCCTTTTTTTTTTTTTTTAGGGATGGGAGGGAGAAAATTTGGGGATTCAAAGCTAAAGGAAATGCAGCTATACCCTCGAAAAGGTCACAGAGGAGCATTGAGTAGGAGGAAAGTTTGTGTGTGTGTGTTAGGTTGTTCTGGCCCTTTTTAGCAACATGTCAACAAATTGAAATTTGTACAAGTTTGCTGGTCTTTGCCTTCCAGTAGCTCAGTCTGGACAACACAAAGCATCTCAATAGCAATAATATCAAGAAAATATGAAAACATTTGTTTGGTTTGTTATAAGTTCTGTACAATACGTGTCAAGTTGTGCATCACTATTGAGCTACAAAATGCACAATTTCAGGTAGAGATGCACAAATTTACCAAACTGTATATTTGAGAGGCTCTGATATTGTTTTCACAATCATATTTCAATTGGATTATCCTAATATTGTGCAGAACTACTTTCAGGCACCAATATAGGACACTTAAAGGGTAGATTTTAATTTTGTCAGTGCTCCCAGTTACCTTGATGTACCTCTCTACACTTTAAGAGCTAACAGAAATGGCCTTTTTTCAGTGAAGTCATTCTGTGGTTTTTATTTTCTTTTTGAGGAATGTTACATGTATTTTTATCTTATTTGTATAATTCACGGTTTGACTTTGTAAGTGAAACCCTTTCTGATATGAATAACTTCCCAGTTGGATTCCAGTTTCCATGTGAGTGTATGGATTTGCTTTAAGACTCACACTGAGTCTATCAAATCCTGCTTTTACGTGAATTTTTCTAAATGACCACTGTCCTGCAAGTTTTGTACGCAACCCTGCTCTTACGCAACTGGACCAAATGAATTATCTGCACGTCCTCTGGTTCTGCAGACATCTGGTAGTAAGCTTCTCATTCCCTTCACTGAGGGAACTGTATTAAGGTCAATTTGACCAGTTTTAAAATCACTATCTTTTCTACCCTTGTATACACTGACATCATTAACAAGCACATGTTCTGTTCTACGTAAGGAAACCAAATGCAAAATAACAGTTATCGCCTTTACAGTGGTTAACACTTCCATTTTCAGTGTTTAAAGGCATAATTTGTCAAATGTTGTGGGCTGTGTCAAATATAATCAATTTCTCAGCTCACAGATTGATTTAATAGAGTATAATTTCCATCTGACAGCTGTAAAGTTCAACCCACCAGCAAACAAAGACAGCAGGCATCTTTTTCAACTGGTAAACATTTATTAGCATGCAGACACAAATCTCTGTCTTTCCTCCCTTCTTTGTTTTGACTTCATTCTCACCATGTCTTCTGACGACTGCCTACTTACTCCTGTTTCTTTCTTTTGCAAATCCTCTCTTTTTTCCCTCTTCTTCTCCCCATACCCTGGCTGTGTGAAGAGGTGATACCAGTGGGAGACAATGAGGAAGACTCACTTAATTAGCTGGACGAGAAGATGCTTTGTGGCAATTACTGAGCACAAAGAGACAGGAAAGTATGGCTCTGTAATGCGCTACTGCGTGCATTTGCCTGCCTGTTGTGGCCCCCGAAGGCAGGTAGGCCTTTTATAGAGAGAGTGAAGGCAATAACAATGGAAGACAGGATGTACTCCACATGTAGTACCATTTCCAGTGCTTTTACAAAAAGGGGCAATGGATGCTGGGGTCTCTTGAAGACTGGAGATTTTCAAACTCTATGATCTCCACAGATGGATTATGGGTGGGAAATGCACATGTCTGAGTGCATTATATGTGCTTAAATTATACAGCTGTAGGTGCAAACTTTCAAAATGTACCTCTTTGTAGTGTGTGCTGTGCTGAATTACATTCTCTTCATGTAAGAGCTTTGCAAAAAAAAAATTCTATCTATCTATCTATCTATCTATCTATCTATCTATCTATCTATCTATCTATCTATCTATCTATCTATCTATCTATCTATCTATCTATCTATCTATCTATCTATCTATCTATCTATCTATCTATCTATCTATCTATCTATCTATCTATCTATCTATCTATCTATCTATCTATCTATCTATACACAATCAGACTTACTTAATCTAAAAATAGAGGTAAAATAACTATTTGGTGAATTCTGAAGTGCAGGTTGCTGTGGTATGTATGTGTAGGATAGCTTGAAATCAGTAAGAGTTAGTCTCAGCCTTGGAAGGGACTGAACCTTCTCTATTTTCTGATTTTGAAAAATAATTGCCAAGGACTCCACTTGCTATCTTAGCACATCGGGGTAACAAACTCTCTCCTCTGGACTGAGACTCAAGCATGTTGCGTGTTTCTCAGTCCTTTTCTCTCTCTCTCTCTCTGGCTCTGGAATGAAAGTAAAAACACTTTTTTTATTCTTCGCACTGCTGTATGCAATTGGTCATTTGTGTACAGCATAGTCCAAGGACTGCAAAAACACTGTAGATCTTGTGTAATTCTCTTTCTGGTTTCTTTCTTGATGGTGAAGAGGTGGAATCAATAAATAGTAATAAACAATAATAAACAGTAGTCATCTTTTAAAGTCAAACAATAAATGTGTGGAGTTGGTACATCTGATTGCATAACATGATTACTTGATAAAAACAAAATTTTGCCCTTAATCTGCTTGACATTAGTTGACGTTCAAGGTCAGGGGAGGTTTTTAGAAACTGTGCAGCCCATAAAAACAAGCATAAAACACACACACTCTAACACATGGTGGTGGCGAGAGCACCTACTGTACTTAAGGGAACCGTGAAGTCTGCTCTACAGCAAAAAAAATGTCCTAAAAACGAATGTCCAGCCATCAACTTGTGACCGTAGGCTTAAAAGCAGCTGGTTTGTGCAGCAGGACATTGCCAAATAAAGTTTTAGAGTAGCCTGGTTAAAGTCTAGGCTGAAATGCTGTGCGGCATGATCCTGAACAGGCCATTAGAGATCAAAAACCACCCGGTGTCGCTGACTTAAAACAAGAAAAAAAACAAAGTTTTTTTTCCCCCCTTTTCTAAATGAAATTATCATTTGAAACCTTTGGTGCTGTGTGACCTAATTGTGAAGATTCAACAAGCCTGATCAGAAAAAAATCAAGTCTTTTCACCTCCTTTTCTATTTTTATTTTTTTTTTATTTTACAATATCCCTTCAACAGTTTTCAGCCAATTAAAAAAGGAACCCGAGCTCTGTTTAGACCTATAGGATATGTGTAAAACTCTTTCAATATTCATAATAATTTCAAACTTGATGAAAATCTGTGTTTTGAAAAAGAAGAACTCCTATTCTTACCTTTAAGGTTTAAGTTAAGACATTTCCTGTCTCTGGTCACCCTGTTGTTTTGCGCCAAACTGGAAATGCTGTCTACCGTTTCTGTTTGGGTGTGAGCGGCCCCGCTGCTCGGTGTGGTTTTATGTTTCTGCATCCGTGCGTGTATTTGTGTAGAGTTGGGCCTGGCAGGCAGCGTTCTCCTCCTGTGGAGTGGCCCGAGGGGATTTCTTTCATGAAGTCAGATAACATCCAGGCGACCCCCTCTTCCCTTTTTTATAAGAGTTCCTTAACCTTGATAAATGAAGTAGAGGCGGGAAGGGAGCGAGGGAGTCAGGCTAGGTGGGAGAGAAAAAGTTGTGGACTGTGTTGGGAGATGAAGCTCTGATGGAGGGAGGCAAGCTAGAGAGAGATAGAGGGAGAGACACCAACTCCCTGTCCGACTTGCTCTCAGGATCAATAACGTTCGGAGAGCTGCTGAGCACTCCTGTCTGGCAGCTCTACCGTAGGGGATGGAAAAAACAGAGGGAGAAAGGGGGGGGGGAGCAAGAAAAAGGGGTGCTGAAAAAGCTTCTCTATCTCCATCTTGTCATTCTTCTCCGATGGGGTTGGGGGAACTGAGGACGTGAAGCAAGCTGGAACGAAGAAAACATGGATGAAGGTTGGAAAGGAGATCGTGAAAATTAAAAAAAAAAACACGCACACAAACACACACCATCACGCCGAGGTCTCCTTTTTTTTTTTTTTACGGAGCCACAAGGTTACCGAGTGTCGATACAAAAGCGCACAGCCCTCCGACAAATGGGATTTGGCATGTTCAATCAACGGTGCTGCCAAATCCCTGTTGTTAAGTGTTGCAGAGTCATATCTGTCTGCAGCAAGCCTGAGCTATGCTACCTGGGTCCGCTAACCGTCCCCTAAACACCCTCTAAAGTCCTCAGTAATAGAATTATCTGCCACTGTTGTCATTGGATTTTAATAGGTGTGTCTTCTGTGGCACGAATGGCAAACAGTGAGGCAGTTGTCACGCTGTACACCTGTTGTAAAAAAGCCTTTTAGTGACTCCTCCGCCGGAGCCTCGAGGTCACGGACACCTGAGCTCTCCTCCCGTTTCCTTTCACACTCTTCGACTTGATTTGCCTGCTTGGAGTTAAAGTCTTTCTGGTCTCTCTCCTCTGGCCATTTCAGCTGTCCTGTGTCAGGCCTGATCCTTTCATCTCCTCTTTTCTAATCCTGCGTCTAGAGAAACCTTCTCCACAGCCCTCCTCCGCTTCACATTGCCCTTTTTTTAACTTTGTGCCTCTTCTCATTTCAGCGTGTCCTCCTTCTTGTCTTTTTCCACCCTCTTTATCCCCCTTGATCATCCCTGCCTTTCCGTTTCTTAAGCTTTTTTTTTTTTTGTTCTTTTTTCCCCGTGACGTCTGCATCTTCCTTCCTCCCTTCTCTTACTTCTGCTGCTCCTGAATTAAGTTAGTGATCAGTTGACTGCCCCTATCATTGGTAGAGAGCAGGTTGGTCCTCCCCTCCCATGAGGGGGGTACATTGTCTGTACTAGCTGACTGGTGTAATGCTCCTACCAGGGACAAAGGGCACCACCTTCACTACTCCAGCCACCTTTGAAGTGGAATTAGCCCCCTGATGAGAACCATAAGCTGGCCTGCTCCTGCCTCCTTGGAAATTCAACATCATACCTTCAGCTCTTTGCTTCCAACTTTGGGCTGCCGGGATTTTCTTTCTGTTTAGGAATAAGGCTCCCAACTTAACACACACACAGTTCTTTCCACAAGTATTAAAGTTAGTTCTGGGATACTGTACCCACGCCAGCAGTTTAACTGTTTTTATCGCTTTTAAGCGTTGATGCTTTTGAAACTAAACAAATCAATGTCTCTGGTTGGATGCAAATGTTGCAACCAGTGCTACTGTCTTGCCAGATCCCTCTTGAAAAAGAGACTAGGTCACCATAGCAAAAATACTTGTAGTATTTTTGATTGTATAGACACTTTTCAATTATATCATATAATCTTAAATGAGGTACGAAGTTTAGATACCTTTAATTTGTGGCAGTGTTAGGATTAAGCAGCCTGTAGACCATAATAATTATGACATGTATGTATCAGGCCTGGTCTGTAATGCAAATAAATCATAATTATATTTAAGTGGTAAATAAATGGCTAAAATAGAATTTTTAAAATGACAAAATAATGCTTAAAATAAATGCAAAAACATAAAACAACATAAAACATCAATAATAGGTTGGAGGGTGCTATAAATAAATATAAGTAGTTATTTATCTACATTGAATATTTAAATGCAACTAATGTTTTGGGCCAATTAGATTGTGAGTTGCTGAAACTTGCACTGACTTTTCAGCTGTAGCAAAAACCTTGACATTTAATTGTTTTTTTCCTTGTATTATTTTGCAATAAAAAAAAGTCTGAAGTGCACGACTGTGCCCTGGTTTCTCCCACATCCTGTGCGTTAAGACCATTGAGTACAAAGCCTCCACTAACCTGCACATCGTACCTCATTCACTCTCTCCGCCTCCCTCTTCTTCTTTTTTTTTTCCCTCAACCAAACGATCACACAGGGAACGAGGAAGTAAGGTTGCTATAGGAACAGCTGGTCAGAGTTTACCAGAGGGGAAACAAACAAAGTACTGTTCGTGAGAGCAGGTTGTTCTGGACAGAAGGAGCGCTGATACTCTGGGTGTGAGTGGGCCAGCGTGGGTTGTGTGTCATGTGTAGTAATTGACTAGATTCGTTTGTGAATCTGGGTTTTCTAGATCCGTTCAGTCTCGTCTGTACTGCTGCTGTAGATCTGCTTATCTGTCGAGAACCTTCATCGGATTTTTCAGAGGTGTTGTGGTGCATTTATCTTTTAAAGGAATCCAGCAAAATGCTTGTGATCCCAAAATGTTCCGCAAATTTATTATTTTTTTTTTCAAATTGCATCCGTTTGAAAAGAGAAAAAAAAAAGCTCTCTCACATACTTGGGCAACTGAAGTATAAGCAGAAATCTGCAGTTTATTCTCACGCCTGTGTACAAGCCCCGACTACATTCTCTTTCAGTGTTTTCTCTGCCCACAGTGACTCTGCAGTTTGGACATAGATTTTATTCAGTATAAATTTCTGTCAACCTGCCTGACTCTAAAGCTGCAGCTAACTTCCACATCCCTTCCCCTCATCATGCATCTCTCAAGCTGTCCTCGTAATCATGTGAACAAAATGTATTGAAACTATTGAGATGCATGCAAACCCATAAAAATGCCACCGTGCCTTCCAGCCCTCCATCTGCATCCTCACACTCTTTAATGCCCATTTACCACCGCATTCAGCAGTTTGAGTGAGTCTTTCAGGCTGTTTTCTTTCACCTTCAGTTCCCCATTTTTATTTGCCCCTTGCCAGTCCACTGGCAAGGGGCAAAAACACCCCCAATCTCATCTCCTCACCAAGTCTACCCCACTTTTACGCCCCCATCCTCTTTCTGCCATCTCCCTCTGCCAAGACTGAAAGATAGACAGACGTACTGTTTTCTCTTTCTTCGCCTTTCACCCTCTCCAACCTCCTTCCATCCATCCTGCCTGGACGGCCACAATGCAGGCGCTCTATCCTGCGGCAGGGAGAATGCAGCCCTGAACTAACAATATTACCAAGGCTGCCTGAATGCCGCCGAGTCCCATTGTACTCTGTCAGAGGGGAGTTAACACCCATGTCTGAGCCCAATGAATAGTATTATTGTGTCTGAGACATACGCCGCACCCCGGGTCCCCATCTATGTCCCCCTAACTCAACCGGGCTCCCCCCGTCCCAAACTTGCTTCCCTTGTCCCAACAGTGTAACTCCCCCACTACATCTCCACCCCCACCAGCCACCACACCACAACCTACACCCCCCCCTCCGCCACCTCCGTAACAGAAAGCTCCAACTTCCAAAGCCTCCCCGGCCCACCAAATCCAAGTGTCCGCACTTTACTTCTCTATTCCCCTGGCAGTTGGCCCACGGATTTTGTAAAGTCCGTTTTGTAAAGCGTGCAGAAGGGTGGAGAGATGTGGGTCACAGCCCTGTCCCCCGTTCTCGGTTCTGTAGCGACATTGGTGAGGGCATATCGTCGATTGTGCAAGTTGGTGCGGCGTGGAGGGGGTTGAATTTGGCTGTAGCTCGTTCTCTCTTGAGAAGCACAATAGGGCCATGAATCCTCAAAGAAATATCCCCCCCCCATCCCAGCTGCTATTATCATAAGAAGGGAGTTGCTGGACCCATGTGAATAACTCTAGATGATACAAAAGATGGGATGTTTTCTTTTTTTTGCAAAGTTTCTATAGCACACCCCTGGCCTGGCCAAAACATTTCCATTCCATCACACTCACTCTGCCACAAACAAGAAAAGGCCAAGACAGAAATTTCCGGTCAACTTTCAGTACTGCTTGTATTATTCCTTATGAACACAATGCCTTTTAAAAACATTCATGCAAGGACAAGCAGTATAGATAACGAACGAAAGTAGCAAGCATTTGTATTTAGCAGCCCTGGTAGCTTCTTGAACTAACTTTTCGCTGGAATTACAGCTGTAAGTCTTTTGGGGGTATGTCTCCCACAGCTTTGCACACAACAACTGAACGTTTTGGCCATCCAGTAGTTGCAAAGTGTCCCAAATTCAGTTAGACTGTATGGAGAGCGACTATGAAAAAAAGAACAACTAAGACTTACCATAGATTCGGAGCTTTGGACTGATAGATTAAAAAACGTTTAGTTTTGGTCTCATCTGACCAGAGCACTTTCTTCTGCGTGCTTGTTGTGTCCTTTGCATGATCTGTGCAATCATGACTTTTCACGTCGTTAGCAATGGCTTCGAAATAAAGGAGACATTTGTGGAGCTTGTGATTATTAGTTATCATTTCGACAGGTTTTTTCCAACTGAGCTGTCAACTCTGAAATTCCTCCACAGCTACCAGGGGCCTGGTGGATGCATCTTTAATGCTTTCCTTGTCTGCCCTGTCAGTCCACTCAAAAGGCCCTGTGCTGACCCTGCTTCAGACTTCTTCACAGCCTTGTCTGCTGTGCTCTTTGGTCTCCTTGATTCCGATGGTGCATCGATATTTATAATTGTGCCGAGATTGAATCACAGTAAGCTGAACTCTATTTTTAAAATGATTTTGCAATTATGTGGACAATTATGCAACAAAGTCCCTCCAAAATGTGCTCATGTTTTTGGTTGTAATGTGAGCAGATTCCTCACTTTTGCAGGGCAGTATTTAACCTTTTAGCCTGTGGTCCAGCAAGAGAGCAAAAGACTGTGGCTGTTGAAGAAACACTTTTCCTGTAAATACCACACTTTTAATGTATTCGATTGATGCAGTAGTGATTTTTATAATGGGTCCACTCTCGCTGTATTCTGCTATCTGCAGCACATCGACTCTAATGGCTGAGAGTACATTGGCAGGCAATATGTTACTGCCTGACACACTTAACTCTCTGCAGTTTCCACCCTCGAAGGTTAGCAGGTTCATATTACCAGCTGGGAGAAGATGCCAAAATCCTCACCCTTGACTTGTTGCTGATCAAAGACCAGAATTGACACTTAGAGTGGGGAAAGAAATATCCTGAAAGTTGAGATTAACTTGTTTCTTTTTCCATCACTGTCTGTGCTTGTTTGTGTACAGCTTGAGAAGAAGAGGAGGTGGCGGCGGAGGAGGGAAAAGAGAAGCAGAGTGGGTGGAAGAACGGAAGAAGAGGAGGATGGAAGCAGTTTGAGGAGGTTGTTCGAAGCGGGTGAACCCAGAGCAGGTGAACGCAGCTGTGGATCGCCATGGGCTTTCTGTCTACTTCCTCTTGTGGGCCAAGCTGCTCTGTACTGGGGTTCCGAAGACCCAACAGGGGCCAGCCAAAAGCTGCAGCGAAGCGGGCAGGCTAGGCCAGGAAAGAGGCAGGTGAGCCGGGTGAGCCGAGCTCCCGTTCCCGCCGGCTAGGAGTCTCCTCGGCAGAGCAGAGCAGCGCGGAGCAGCAGAAATCAATACCGAGGAGAGAGGCGAGCAGAGGTTGCCCAACACCGCCTGCAGGCCTCAGAGCCCAGGGACCAACCACCACCACCACCACTACTCCCAGCTCCTGTCTACCAATTCTCCTTCTATCTCTCTCCTGGAGTTCCAGTACCGGCCAGGGCCCTCACCTCGCAGCTGCCCTAATCACAGTGTGTTTGCCAGAACATGCACACTTACGCGCAGGAAAGTAAAATGAAAAGAGACAGAAACTATCCTGGTGTGTGGTTCAGCTGGAGGTTTTCCAACTCTGCTTGATAAAACTTTGCCAAAGACACACAAGGCACTGGTTGAAGAGCGAGCCGTGACGTGGAGGTCCCTTTCCTTCCGGCTCCCACGCTCCAATTAGTCATTCCACCTTTACCTTTTCTGAATGAGGATGCTACGGAGGACGTTGCAGCTCAGTGCTGTTTCCAAGCACGTATAGCGCACAGTATTCCTAAGATCTCATGAGCCCGGATGAAAGGACAATTTGAACTTTTTCCTCTCATCTACTGTATCAGGCAGAAGCTGTCTTTTCGCCTTAGATTTTCTTACCCGCACAACAGCAGCTCCCTTCAGAGGATATGGCAGTGCAGTATTGATCCGTGAGGTGGAAGAGAGAAAGGCGGGTTCAGGCTTTCATACCTCTTTCTCTTACGGTGTGTGTATGTGTGTGTGTTTTGAGGTGAAAGGGGGGATTGTACCTGAAGTCCACTTACTGCTGTGCAGAACGGATCCAGTGACAGCACAGGTGAATGACTGCTAATTGAATGAGAGCTCAAGTGAAAAGGACCTTAGTTTGACAGACTTGTTCCTCCTCCGTATATGCAAAGCCCTCTGAAGTTCTCACTCAGCATAGGAAAGTAAAAGCAGAGGAACCCCTTCACATGGCGCCTGGAAGACGCATCCTCACTAAACTTCCACTTGTAGAGTTCGTGCTGTGCATGTTTGAGGCCTGGATTAAGGTTTTTGCCCAAAAAACCTGGAGATATTCTCTTCAGATTGACATTTATGGTGAGTATAAGTTTGATGTTCTCTTTTATGGCAATATTGCACACAGGGTTCCTACAATGTGTCTAAATGTCTGGCAAAAATAATTTTCCTGGTGTGTATAGGTATTGAAAAGTATATAAAATTGAGATCGGAGACATAATTCTTATTTATAAAAAAGGTCAAATGTACAATTGTCAAAAATATGAGGAGAGTTTTATTTTTGATTTACCCATTTGTTGTCCAATGCAGTGATATGATGTTTATCATATCACAACTTTTTAGGCCTCTTAGATTCGGGTTTTGAAATTTTAAAACCTAATGCGTAAAATAATGTTTAGAAAAGTCAAATTTCAAATGTAGACTTCATGAAATGTTTCAGCATAACATGTATATAATTTAGTGATACTGTTACTTTTCTATGTTGCCAATTTGCAGCAGTCATAAACATAATCTTGTTTATTCATTATCATAAACATAATCTTGTTTATTCAAATTAAGTTATAACTTTATTATTGGTGTTATCTTTGTAAAGTACAGTTTAATCCTGGAAATTCACTAAACACAAAACCATTACAACTAAGATAAAAGTGATCCCTACATCTTCATGATTTTCATGTATTCAAAGATATCTCAGTTACTATTCAAGGTAAGACTATTAGTCGATAATAAAAGAAAAACTAAAAATTATTTATATTTTTCATCCTATGTCCACTCCAGATAAAGTCCAGTGAAAGTATTAAATGTTATTTAGGTTATTATTTTTTATGTCTATTAAATATTTTCTTTCTTTAAAAATATATATATTTTTTTACCATTGTACTTCCTGTAACAGTTCCCAAAAAAAAGGTTTTGTACTGTAAAAATAAAAAAAAAAGGTTCATAGTAGCCATCTTGGATTTTTAGGTAAAGTTCAATCACCATAATGCACACGGCAAGCAAACATTCTCATACATGTTTTTAAGGAAAGGTCCAACTTTGTTCAAGAAACAAATGTGCCAGAAAAAACGTTTTTAATAGTATTGTAAGTAAAGTTTTCCAGGGTTAAACTGGCTCCTTTTATATGCAAGGCAAGCTTTACACTGCTCTCTTTTTACATTACGCTACAGAATGAACGCATTACCTAAATCTAGAATAGAATAATCAAGTCCAGCCAAGTTATAGCTTTAAAACAAGTGCACTTTACCACTCTGCTGAACTGAGAGCCAACATGATTCCTTGTTTTTTTTTTCACTACTTGCAGAAAATACAAATATCAAAACCCAATTAAGTCACTGCTTTGCACTTGAATGTCCGGCACACTGGAATGTAAGCCAGAAAAAGTATGAAATTGTGAACCGCGTGGGAACGCTGTGAACAGAAATGAATGTTTAACTTTTTTCTGAGAGTGTTATTAGGAAATATTATTCCTGCCTAAAGGGGTATGTGTCTATTTAAAGTTAAAGCAGACACCTCCTGTTGTAGCTGATCTCCTCAGTGAGCCCTGGGCTATGATCGCGCTGTCACACAGCCTGTCGGAGGAGCTTGTTCTGGTTGCGTGTACCAGCGAGGATGTGAAAGCTCGGTTTCCCCCTCTCCTGCCAATCTCCTGGCACACAGATAGAGCCTGGCGCCTCGCTACGCCTCAGCCTGGCAGCGGCCCATGCTTACAAAATGGCCGATTTCTTGTCTGCCAGCTGTCTCCCTGAACCAAGATGGCGCTCGCTCGGCTTTCTAATGCCCGCTGTTTGCCATCTGCCCCGTGATTGTTAACGGCTATGCAAATATCTTGTAATTGCTTTTGCATGTGCGAGATACTTAACCCCCCACCCACCCCTGGCTGTAAATAGTGGCGGGAGAATAAAAAGGAATAAAAGAAAGCGCAACCCTGGCCGATTGCTGATTGAATACGCAGCGGGAACAATTAGCAAATGAATGTTGTTACGCTGCTTTTGATTTTCTTTTTCCCTTTAAGCTCACCTTATTGTGCATGCAAATCACCGATGCTGCTCCGCCGCTTTGGATGCTAGCTTGAAAAACGCAGCAGCACCTCGTCTCCGTCTGAGACTACGCTCCCGTGTCTCCTCATTGTGCCATATGTGACATCTGTGGTTGGCTGCATCACAAGGGTGCCCTGCCTCCTGTGACAGGCAAAAAGCCCACACTGTAAAGGAGAAGCAGAAGCAGAGGGTGAGGCATAACATAATGACCTCATTAGCATGCTCGGCACTCCTTGCTATAGGCCCCGGTGCTGTGCAGCGCCGTGGGACCCACCGGTGTACGCCCTTCTCACAGCACTCAGCATGCAACATTGTGTTCTCCCCACACAATGCGGCACTTCATACAGGCTTTATTACGCCTTGTCAAAGCACGGGAGGGGCGGGGGGGTCAGCGGTATCAGTGCAGGGGAAGCAGGATCCAGGCTGCGTACGTAAAGCAGGGGACGTCTTGGCGCTTAACGGGTTTTAATGTGGCGTTAGCCGCTCTCATAGAGCCGCTGCGCCTTGACATATGTGTGTTTATGTTTGTATGGGTGTCTCTGTGGCTTATGGTTGAGTGTGTTTATGCAATTGTCTGCTTCATTGTCAGCTCCCGTGGAATCTCTGGCTGCTTTCACCTGTCACTGCTAATTAGTGCAAAGGGCTGATTTGGGGAATTGTCTAGGTCCTGAATCCCGGCTACTCATCCACGCTGAAGACCTGCTGTTTGGCATCTGTTCTTAGCCTGAAGTAGGCTAGCTGCAAACGCCACACAAAGAAGCATACTTTTTGATCACTTAAAATGTAATCCTTTTTTTTTTTTGGCATTATTTCTTGAGCTTGCATTTCTTTGTATGCTATAGCTAAGCGTTAGCGATTGCAATTAGTGGATGCAATTTTGAGGGAATCGTTCAGTCCTCATGAGGTCTACGACTGGATTTTCTTTCCAACTTCAAACCAAATACGCTTTACTGTGCATTTTGAAACATGACCACAATCATTTTTTTTTCTTGTAAACTAGGTGGTAGATTTCCCTTACCAGCAGTCAGGTACCTGCGCTCAAGTGGATTGCTCGTTTCTCTTATCGCCTCCTCTATCAGAACCAGAGCTTCTCAAGCTTCTCCGCCTAATCAGCCCACACTGAACCACATTGAGCTGAGCTTCATCTGAGCTGGTTGGTGAATAACACTGAAGCCTCTCCTGTGTCAGCCTGGAGAGTCTTCAGGCCCTCTGTGTTGCTTTGTTGGAGTAAGGAAGAAGGGGATGGGTAGAATCAGCACTTTATAATTGACCGTCTGTTTGGATGAAACAGCAGGAATCAGAAAGTTTTGCACATTGAGAGTTTACTAAATGTGATTAATCACTAATTGGTGGTTGGCAGAATTTCTGAGACGACATGGACAAACGGTAAATATCTGGATGTTAAAGGGCTTCATACATGCTCAAAGCTGCACTTTCCATGTCCAACATGATCTGAATATAACCTTTGATAATTGCGCAAATGCTTCGTCGTGCCGTTTCTACGTTTAAAGCCGATCCATGAGACGCCAAAGAAAGTTACCAGAGTTCTGACTGGCTCCGTGGTCCGTCCCCTCCCCCATCTGTTGCTGCACACTGTCCGTCAGATGACTGAACAAACGGCGCCACGCTCACTTAAGCTTGCGTCTCTTTGGAAATATTTCCGGTTGCGATAAATACAAGCAGCGATGGTGTGAAAATGAGAAGAAGTGGCGCTCATCCCTCTTTTTCATTTCACACAGTTTGAACATTTCAGCTGATAAGCTGCAGGTGGCTGAGGGTTAAGCAGCCCAATGCAGGCGGGCGGCCCAAATAATTAATCAGCTCGTTCCTCTTTTTCTGCTTGTGTCATCCTGGAAAGAGAAGAGTAACAACATTTTTCAATAGTGTGGGCACTTTAGGTTTATTCACAAAATGTTTCTTTGTCTTCTTAAATGAAAGTAAGATAGATTGGTTTTTTTCATACAATTGAAATCATGTAAATACCACGAAACATCGCTATTTTTACTTTAGCTTAGCTCATCATGAAAATCTCATACATGCCAGGAACCACCGCATACATGCATGTTCATGAACACATGCGCACGCTCATCCACCTGCCTGTTCACACTTACATGGAGGGAGGAAGCCCTCCCAAACACTGAGCCCTGCTGAAAGCTTTTACGCTAATGACAGTGGCCGTATGTGTGTGTGTGTGGGTGTGTGTGACTGCGCTACTGCGGTTATTCATAATTCAATACACGGAGCACGTGCAGGACGAACACACCTTGGATTATGTGGACAACATTTCAGGACCTTGAATGTACGGTGTATATTTGGCGGTTGGAGTTTTAAACTTGCAGATTGAAATCCTTGCTCTGCAGTCCGGATTAGATTCAGATTCCATCACCTTTTTAAGCTGCTGTCATTACTAACATTTGTCTCCTTCCAAATCTATTCAGTGTGACATGATTTATGTGTCTGTTTTAAAAATATAAACCCTCACGCTCAAGAGGAAAGCACCTGAATGCTACTGAGCCGCAAACAGTCAAAAGGTTTCCTCGGGTTGTATAAAACCAAGAATATTGAAGCGTATTTTCACAGATCGACTTGAGTGTTGGGTGTTCATTTGTGCGCGTTACTGTCATCCCGTCCACTGCAGCTTTTCTCATTCTGTCTGCCCCTTTGCTTTTTATTTGCTTAGGTATTGATTGAGTGTGGTGCACCCTCTGAAGTAATAGTTGCTGAAAGCATTTACAGCCATCACTCAATTCATCCCGGGCTGTTTCGCACATCTCTCTTCCCACTGGTGAGACCAAAGGGATCTAGTTGGGTTTTTTTTTTTTTTTTTTCTTCTGCACTCAAATTCACATGTTAAAAAAGTACATCTTTGCATCAATTCTGCTCATATTACAGCACATCCCTGGGAGATTTAGATTAGCATTATTGTTTTATACTATAGTTTGTTTCTAATAGGAGATGGGACAGGCATCTCCCAAAAGGTAATACAGGAATAAAATAGAATATTAGCTTAGAAAAATATTTGATCTGTTTCAAGTCTACATTTTG